CTTTTGTGTTGCATTCCGGGCGCTCTTTTCATATCCTGATCGACGATTAGCGAAATCCCAAGCGCGATACATTGAATTACTTTTGGCAAGCCGCAGTCAATATCAGTAAGTACTTATTGGTCCACTACATCTTTACTTTGCATATCATTATATAATACCAAATTCCACAAAATAAAGCTTCAAGTTTGCGTTTTGATCCTTTTCTTTGAGACTCTGTCGTGCTTTGATGGCGTCTCTTTTTCGATTTTTATAATTTTCAATTTCCTCTAATATTTTTCGTTTGCGCAATTGCAAACTAGCACACTTTTCGTTGGCAATCTTGATTCGTGTATTTGCATCATCAATTCGCTCCAATATCAGCTCCTGATATTCTATTTCATCTTGAGTCAGTGGCCTCGGCGATTCCAAATAATCCTCTATTCCATCGTCAGGGCTTTCCTTAATTACAAAAAAGTCATTCTCCCTCTCATCCACGACTCCAATTTCCCACCTTTCCTCGTTCATTTTCTCTATTTCCTGGCCCACTTTGTTAACTTTCTCCTCGGCACTCGAAGTCAGCTCCCTGGCTTTCTTCAATCCTTCTTTGATGAACTCAATTTGGCCACGCAACTCAAGTCTTTTGTATACAAGTCGCAACTTCTCAGCTTTCTCTCTCCAAGTTTCAGTTATATCTTCTAGTATGTCTTGATACTCGTGTAGCTGTTGACTATGTGAAATGATCCACTTCACGTTCTCGTCAGTTCGCTTGTTTTCCATCTTTAGTCGCCACTGCGCGTCTGCGAATCTTCGATGGGCATTCAAAATTTGCTGTTGTAAAGCCGTCACCTCCATCGCTGTAAATTTGATGCTGTTCTTCCAGAAAAAAATTCTTCCAAAGAGGCAAGAAGTCTAGGAGATAACAGCACCTTGATACCAAGCAAACTATGCGAGCAGATATGTCCTACGGAAAATGCTAGCCACAATATTAATGGTATGTGCCACAAGTGCTCCAACTTTAATTCTAACTTATATTTATCTGTGTACTCGAAACAAATAAAACTAACCAAGCATACAAATGTTTAGAGGTGTTGGTCGGTATATAGGTCGTGAGCTGTATGTCACGTTTTATTCGTTATGTTCCCGGCGCTAAAATGCTGAGGTGTTTTTGATCATCTTGTCGTTTTATTTCATCTCGGTCTTTTCCATTCTCGACTTTCCCTTATGCGAAAAGCTTTGATCCGACTGCAAAATTCAAGAGTGACTGAAACACGGAGAGATAGAATGTACCATACAAACTTTTCATTAAAGAAAGATGACCGAACTAGACCTACACAATTTACAGTGTGACATAAAGAAACGTTAAATAAAGAGTTTATTAAGAACTAAAGGTCTTGTTTCATCTAGCTAGCCTGCGTGGTAGGCGTCGAAAGGTGAGAAAGAGAAAAAAGAGGGGGTTTGTTCACCTTCTCCTCCCCCCCTCCCCTTTTTGCGCCTACCACGAAGGCTACATCTAACAGTTTAAACAACACTATATCTCCACAGAGCATGTCCTTTTACTCAGTGACATTGGCGAGCTTTTAAAAGAACTGTAAGTATGAGAGATTAGGTTCGAGTCAACTTCATTCCCAGGCTCCTCTACATTTCGTGCCCTGGAACGAGCGAGAGAGAGATGGGGACGAGTAGGAGAGATTAAAAGGAACAGGAAGAAACTAGATCACTGCGGACAAACCTGACTTCGAATCACTATTCAATCTAGTCATCGCACTCAAATCTAAGTCTGTTCTCTAGACGTTTTTCTCTTCTTTTTTGAGGATTTCAACTAACGCGCAAGCAAAGGGAGGGCGCTACGCGCGAGAGCGTGGGTGAGGGGCGAGAACGAACGCGGAGTACGAGAAATAAGGAAAAAAAACGTCTGTAGACTTCTAATTTACCCACCCCAGCCCCCTGCTGCTAGCTGTCAATAAATCTCCCGCAGTATTTATTTACAAATTCGCACATGACCAAATAGAAGGTCTGTCGGTAAACAGACTAAAATCTTAAGCCTCTCAACTCTTTACGACTACCTATATCAAACTAAGTGTCCAGTCCAGCGCTCTTTTCTCCCAGCACGCGAGCACCCCCGTGGCTGCGCACTCGCTACATAAAACACTACCACGAGCGAACAAGACTGTGTGGAAGTATTTTGAAACGAATGTCCATGTTGCCGCTTAACAATCCCAGGTAGCCTGGGATGTGCACTCTGAAAATTGGACCGTCTTCTTGTTAGTTCTGGATGGAAATTCTCTGATCATTAGCAGTAAAAGTCTTGAACGCACAACCTTTGTCTGGCGTGATCCACATGTCTCAGGCATAAAATTATACATTAAGAACTGTGTCTACTCCGGCTCAAGCACACAGCATCGCGTGAGAAACGTGGGGCGTGGTGTTCAAATACCATCCATGTACAAAACAAGTTTAAGTAAAATCTTTCTGGGATAACTACGCGTCCACCTGACCTCTTCTATTCTTGTAAGTCAATGACTAGATCGTCATCGCCCTCATATATATTACCATGGAAACTAGAGGATCCTGGAGAATCGTCGTTTTCACTGCAAAAATTTCAAACGAAGACATTTTGATTTAACACTGTAAGACTGGCCTCGAGAGAAACGCTTACTAAGGCTGGTTTTCGCTAGCGACGGAGTCGGAGTCGTAATCAGAAGCGTAGAACTTTACTTAAGAGCGTTCTGATTCAACTCAAGACTCCATGTGATATGTATCATCAAGTGAAAACTGGGTCTTCGGAGTCACAAGCAGAAGCCGAAGAACTACGATTGCTTTATTCTTCCGCTTCTGCTTCCACCTCCTTTAGTACACTAGGGAGCTTTAGCTGAAACATTCAACCATACGCTCGCCAGGTAAACTGCTGAATGAAAACGCTTGGTCTAGATAAAACTTCGGAAACAATTTAAATGTTGGGTTAAGAGAGACGGTTTAACGATCAAACATGCTTCCCTAACAATTACTTCAAACAATGAAGCTGGGCTAAAATCTTTGATTGTTTATCCAAGGCTGAACTGTCACAGGAAAAATCGCCATGATAACTGAACTTGCATGCGCCCGACTGAATAATTAGCATTGCAATAGCGTACCTCTCTCTCTCGTCGTCTTCTACATTAAACATCTCCTGTGGCAGTTCCTCTGTGGCTTGAGGAACATGAGAAGCTTCGTGGTTACTGGATTCAGATAATTGGTTAAGTCGTTCCANTCCAAGGCTGAACTGTCACAGGAAAAATCGCCATGATAACTGAACTTGCATGCGCCCGACTGAATAATTAGCATTGCAATAGCGTACCTCTCTCTCTCGTCGTCTTCTACATTAAACATCTCCTGTGGCAGTTCCTCTGTGGCTTGAGGAACATGAGAAGCTTCGTGGTTACTGGATTCAGATAATTGGTTAAGTCGTTCCAGTTGTTGCTAAGCGAATTTGAAATAATTAAAAGAAGTATTTATCAAAATAATGAATAACTCAAAAGGGTGTAGATTAAACATTGCACTGTTTTAATAGTCAACTCATTAGAAAGATTTAGAGCCACGTTTACGCCAAACTACACACGTATTACTTCCACACAAAAAAAATTAATTATAAATAGTTTACGCCAGCTTTATCCCTAAGAATTGTTGTGGACAGTTTTTATCTGCTTACTTTCTACTTTGAGAAAATCTCAAATTGAATCTGACGTTTGCCGCTTGTTGTAAAAGAGAAAAATTGGCCCCAGAGCCAGCCTTTCTTATGGTAAGTACCAAGAACAAGCGGTCTCTTGGGGACAAAATTAGAGAACGACAGAGAAATATTCAACCTTCACTTTCTGCTTTATTTTTTCCTCACTCTTTTTACGTCCCTTTTGTACTGTTTCTTTTTGTTGACCTCTGGCTAAACTTCTGCGATCACGTAAAAAAGTGCCAGAAATTTCATATTCAAATGCTCTGTTGTGTTATAGAGAGTAAATCAGAGGACTTGAACAGTATGGATCGCCCAACTGCGATATAGACCAATAAAAATCATTAAAGGAAAGGACGACAATGGCAGGCAATTGATAATTTGAAAGTGGTGGCATTTAAGAAAAGGTTAAATTCAATCTTACATGATCCACCATAGATGAATGGTCCCTTGGTGGGTCTGGCACCGGTTTGGAGCTTGCGTGAGGTTGTTTGGGAGATGATACAGCTACAAAAAAAAAAACATTAAAAAATACCTTACGGCATAAGCAAGTAACTTTGTACTTTAAGAAGTTGAAAAGACCTGAGAAAAACTAAGTAATTCCACCCAATTACAATTAATTTCTGGGCAAATGTTCGTGGAGATAAAAAACCAAACCCGCCATATGACCACCTACACACTTGTCTTTCTGGCCTAAACAAAAGTCCAGTCACCCCATTACAACCAACCATCAACTTTTGGAATCCATTTTCCTTACACCTTTACCAGCCTGGTTAAGATGACCAGTGGTGAACCTTGTGAGACTGATTTACAAGTGAGAAAAGCAAAGAATATGACTGAATATTTTTCTGTGAAGTTGATTGTTAACATACTACTTATTAACTGAGAGTGAGATCATTACAGGGAAATCTCAGACCGCGGCCTTAATGTATCGCTTGGTCAATACATCAAGGCCGTTGTCTGAGTTTTCCCTGCAATGAATGAACAGACGAGGTTAATAAGTCATTTATTATAGGCCTTTTCATTATGGACCTGGGCCTGCAATCAATTAAAACCAACAACTGGTCAGTGGATAACTTTAAAAAACACATCAACTCAATGAGTTGTACACTTGAGCCTGCGATACAGTCAGGTGACACTGGTCAGCAGATACCCTCTTTGACGGTTGTCAATTGACCATAACATGGATGTCCATAAAGATGTGCAGTATCAGGTTACACACAGATTGTATATTATGCCTTGAACACCTTGCTAATAATGCCCAGTCATTACAAAAAAACAGCCAATCAGAGTGCACGTACTATTGTAGCCATATAATAAAAGGATATAACCAGAGTATCGGGCATTTCTGGGGAAAAAGGAGAATCTTCTCTCCCTAAACACTAAGGAAGGCCTCACCTGATGTTCAGGCTAACAAGGATAACAGTAGACAGCAAGCTATGTACTGTAGCAGCATAGAATGATGGGTAAGATTGAAAGCAAAAATGTCTCTTTCTCAATTCCAAAAGAATGACTGCATAGACCCTTGTTTACATAACAGCTTAAACTACACCTATAAATTTCTCAAAACGTTTCTTTTCTTGCTGTATTAATAATTAATATCAACTAACCTTGTTTAGAGATGCGTACGACAGTTCTGTGAGCACCGCAGTATCCTGACTTGGATCTTTTACTGATTCTCTCCTGACACTGATTTCCCTATCACAGAAGTACAATGTAGACATCAATATAATATCAGATGCAGCGCACAGTAAGGGCACCTCAAGAAGATGTGGCATAACACAGCCTGTATTTTCTAAAGCTTCCAAATTGGCAAAGCGTTGCAATTTCTGGTTTCCCCCAATCATGCGAATAGTGAATATTCCAGGCTTAAGCAGTGATGTTAAGATAGCTAACAAGTTGTCCAATGAAGAGGGAGTTCACCATGGAAGAGACAAACCATGATATGACAGAAAGAGACACCCAACAGATAGATAGATTTATAGGGAATTAACCTGAAAGAGGGTTTATAGACCAGGAGTACAAGACAAAATTAGGTAGCTATGTCTCAATCCTTAAACCACATTTTAGAAAACAAAAGCAACTCAAGCCTTTCTTGATTACTGGTCTCTAAAACCAAGAGATCAAGCAGAAGCCCTCAAAGAAAATATATTAGTTTCTTTGAATAAAACTATAAAAAGTAGAGTGAGCATGATCATCTCTGAGAACGCAGTCCTGAATAGGACTGTTGTCAATAGTGACTGACATTTCAACAACCTTTGTGGTAGTCATCTTCATAATCAAAGTGAGTTGTATCATCAGTTGATAGCATTATTAAAACTCTGGTTATTGACCTGTTTGGTCAATTATGTCACAATGTTATAGGTTGTCTGTCAGTTTGTCGAAACGTCAGACACTATCAACAACAGTCCTGTTCAGGACTATGTTCACTCAGATGATCATGCTCAACCTTCTTATGAAATTACTCTTGGGTTTAAACCTTTCACACTATAAAAAATAGTTAAGTGTTGAACTGTGCAAGGTAAACAAAGATTCCCTACTTACATTATTCACATATTTACATTGAATTGAACTTTTCGTTTTGGATGCAGCTGTGGTTGGTTCACCTCCCTAAAATTAAAGAAAACGAAATTAATGTTAGTCAACTGGCTACCAGGGGGTAAAGCAGTAAAACCTATATTTCTTAAGCCAGGTGGGAGGTGGGGAGGACTCCCATACAAAAGTGACAGGGATGCTTGTTGTCTCGCTTAGGGCTGTAAATTTCAGATTTTTTGATCCCACTTAGGGTGACTGGGATGGTCACCATGTTTGCCAATTCACGTATCGGTTACGGCTGTGCATAAAGAAATTTTAAAAAAATGTTCTGACACTGACCACACAGAAATCTAATGTTTAAAATACAACACAATAAAAACTACTCTAGCTCTTATTTAGATGTCTGTTTTAGTATGGTCTCCCTTAAGGGTCAGTTTAAGCTTGAGCCACAGCCACATTGGTCTCCGTTAGGGGGATTAATTTTCATTTTCCGAGGAGCTTCCCCGTCACTTTTATATGGGAGTCCCCACTTGGGCTCTCAAGAAAAGGCAAGATAATTACCATTCAAAACAACTAACAATTGAAATACAAGCTATTCAAAGGTACTTCTATTTTGCACTGCTAACTGTACATCTATGCAGTACAAGATTGGTCTAACATTTGCCGTTAGTCTGTGTAAGAAATCTTAAAATCTGATAATTATAAAATCAAAACTTCTGTGCATTAAATGAAAGATGATCATTGCAGTTATAGACACAGTTACAAAACGAAAGCCTGAAAAAAAAAAACATCTTAGTACGGGATTTGAACCCTTGTCATCTACAATATCCGTGCAGCGCTCTGCCAATTAAGTTATCCAGCCAACTGGGAGCAGCTCATTGAGTTGGTTTGTTTACAAACCCATGAAAGGATGACCATGAAATAATGAAAATATGAAAATCATATAACTATAGGAATTGCAGGGTGAAGAATTTATTAAAGAATAATTCCTGCACCACTGTTTATAACTTTGTACAGTAAGGTTGCGCCCACATCTAAATGGCTGATTGGTTGTCTATCTATGCTAATAACATGCTACAATGGTAGGTGTTTGACCTGGTCAGTTTATTTCTTTGGAATTTGTGAATAAGGTACAGATTCAATTAAGAATTAACTCACAGCACTGCTTGTTCCATCTGAAGAAGGATATGGAAATACCCCCATACTTTCGGATGGAAGTCCATGATTGATGGCTGCAGGTGCTTTCTTTGGCCTGCTAATTGAAAAGTAATATTTTAGGATATTGCAGACACTTGGCTCTGCCCTTTAGTCTCCCTACTTTAGTATTAACACTGCAACGTAAGCAGCCCAACTGAAATTTAACCCTCAGTTCAGAGTTATGAAAGCCACAGCTTCTACATTCACCAGAACAATAACTGTTTAAACAATATTATTTAAACAGTTTTAAATTAAGTGTCATGACTACACGAACAGAAGTGTTAAAAGCCTACCTGCTAGATGGTGTAGGATTCTCTGCCACCAGGACCTAAAATCAAAATTAATTTGAAAAGAAAAACCATAATTGATAAAAATAATAATGATGAACAGTTGTAAACAAACAAAATGGAAATCATCATGCACTACATTTTCCTACGTCAAGTGTTTTCTGTTGGCTTTTCTTCAGTTAATGGGCAAGTGAGGTATAACCTAAATCCCAACCAGACACTGGCATAGAGTTCTCAAACTGAAAAATTCTGCCTCACCCAACACCGCTGAGAAAAGCACAGTTGGCTTCAACTTAGTTTATCATGAAACATCCTAGCTGATTTATTATTATTATTATTTTTTATTTCAATAAGAGAAAAATTTAGCCCACTTCCTAATGATTATATTCAAGATGGCTTTGTTACAAGGAATGACACCTGCCCCTTTGGGTGCTTTCTTTTTTTAATTTGACAAAATACTTGCAACTAGTTGAACACCACATGCCTTTGGTCCTTCATTGTCACTGACACCAGAGGAAGATGCTGTACCCTCATCATCTAAAAACATTAAAAGTTCTAACCATAGGTACAAAAGTATTGGATTTAGATTATGATGTTCAACACTTAAACCACAGATAGCATTGCAAGGTTGACACAACTAGTTAAGATTCTGCTGTTGGAGTAACCTGAGATCAGGCTCTATTTTCATTTCGCTTTGTAAATAACATTCCAGCGGGCATGGCGATTAGAGAGAATGTATAAGAACTGCTCAAATTGGGCCTGATCTCAGGTTACGTTGGAGATAAACTATTGGGTTTGTCACTGCCAGAGATGACTCTTTGTTGTCCCATTTTTCTTGCCAGCTTGCCCTGGCCATTCCCACTTGCACAAATGAGCCTGCTCACAGCTTACACTGCATCCACACTTAGCAAGTTAAGCAGGTTATTTTTTTAAGAAACTTGGTTAAAAATCACCATGTTTTTGTTGAGAGCGGTTACTAGATAGAATGACCTGGAGGGTATGAAAAAAGCACCCAAAAACATGAAGGTTGGGACCTCAAACCTGGAGATTTCCAAAATATGTTTTTTTAGAAAAAAAAAATGGCAATTTTTTCTTCTTCGAAAGCTAGGGCTCCAAAGTCTCTGTGTCAGTTTGAGATTCCACTTCACAAGTATCCACATCCATAGGATGGCGAGTAACCATTTTGAGTTTGTTTTTGAGTTTGTTTCATCTTAGCAATCCTATGTTTCATAAGAATGAAGGTTGAAATCGGACCCAGGTTTCCCCCAATTTGTACTGGAACTGTCAGGAAATTTCAAGATTTTATGATTCACAATGAGATTTGGAGGTTAAATTGTGAGACCGCGAGTTGACAGCCCAAACCATGAGTCTCACAGTCAAACTGTGAGAGATGGGTTTCTGAACTGGACAACACTCAGTTAAAGAAACAGATTTGTCAATGTTTTACCTGATGAGGAATGATCCACATTCTCATACTGAAGGAGTCTGTCTAGTAGAAAACTAGAGAAAAAAATTATAGATCAAATATTCCAACTTTAAATATTGACAGCAGCTGACCTGAACCCTTCATAGCCAAGAACAACGACTGTATTAATTTAGTGATTGCCATTAATTTTTATCCAATGTATATGAATGGTAAATCAGGGGCACCAATCAGAATCAATAATTGCTACTAAATGGTTTTAAGAACTTTATAAAATGTTCTTTTTTGAAAGAAAACAAACGATTTAAGACTAAATCATTTCTTTTGTGTACCTTTTATCTCTAGAAACTCGAAGAAGTTTTTTCTGAACTCTTCTGAGCTCTTCTTGAAAATATTCTTGTTCCTGTGATAGTAAGCACATAATAACTATTATTAACAAGTATTAAAAAACACTTCAGCAATTCAGCCGGGCATAATAATAAGTAGCAACTTTATATATATTATTGGTTGGTTGTAACTCAGAGGCCATACTGAGACAATTCAAAATTTGAATTTGCTGGCCAAACCAGACCATTTAATTCATAAATTAGAGAATTCCACTACTTATCAGAACTGTCATCCATTCCATATTGGTATGCTTGGTAGTGATAGGTTTTACAACAGTTATTGTAAGCCTACTTTATGTTCAAAATATGATTATCAGTCCAGCCACCAAGTTTTGACTTTCAGTAAGCACCCTTAGAAACCAACTTCTAATCATTCTGCTTAAAAGTATTTCAAATCAAGGAAAATTTTCAATGGTTCAACAGTTAAGGAACAGATTCAAGCAAAAGTAATATATTATTTCGTTCTTAGCTTTTAAAGCCATGTGACTCACATAGAGCAAGAACTTCAGTTTCCTCTTCAGTGTCTTGTACTTGTCTCTGTAGTTAGGACTGTCTACACTGTGACTGTTATTTTCTGATGAGATTAAAACATTAAAATATCAAATACCAATGATACATAAAAAAGTAGAGTTTAACTGACTTGAAATTGGTTAACCAGAACAGCCTAATTTGTTGCCTGAATTTGACATATATCTTCATTCTAGTCACATACTCCCTCAGAGATGTCTGTCATCTTCCTGCTTGGCTTGGGCATAATTTCAGTGGGAAAAATTTCTTTGAAAACCCCAAGGATCATGAAATTTATAATTCTGCTCAGCAGGACATAACATTTGGTCTGCGTAGTGAAACAAGATTTTCATTGGAGTTTTCTGGTCACTTTAACAGTTTTTTTTGGTTTTCAGGGTTTGCACAGACTTTTTGATCCAAAAGACTTTTTCCACACTAAGCCCTAAGCACTTGTAGCTTCAAAATCCAGACTTTTCACCTTTTACCCAGACTTTCTCTTCAATTTTGCTTTGCAAATTTCAAGACTTTTCCAAGAATTCAGGACTCTGTACAACCCTGAGTTTTTCTGTGTGATATTTTAATGACTCATACTTATTAATTTATGGTTTCAACCACCTCCCCACCCCCCTGCACAAGTTAAAAGTCAAAGAACTTTATATTATTGAAACTGATGAGGTCACACAAAGGATGGAAGGGACGTGGATCCGGGTGGTTGAGGTGTGAGAGGATTAATATGTTAGCATATTCGTAGGGTGTTGATTTTACCTAAATTCTTTATGAGAAGGAACGACCAACCAACGAGATATTAATCTAAGACTGAGCTGATTTGAGAAACCTGGTACATGTAATAATAGCTCCATAATGAATAGAATATGCAGCAGTCTAGTTCGCATAGTGAACTCTAAATTTCTCTATAATAATTTCATGTTAAAAAAGTAACCACGGCGAAAAGCATTCATTCTACATGTGATAAACTAAAGCTTAAATGAGTTCAGTAACAAAGCTGACTATTATCGATGGTTGTTTGATCATAATATAAGCAGAAAATCATAACTTAAGAAGTCAGAATTAAAAAAGCAATAATATTTAGGAAATAACTAACGAAAAATAATACGCGATTGATTGTAAAGACAAACTGGAACAAAACACCGACTACAAACCTGGCACAGGCATCATGGCGGCCATCAAAATACCACGCAGCCAGGGAAACTGGGCCCTAAAATTTAGTCTTGTCCCAATCCCCACCGGGGAGTACAGGGGTCTTGGTGACCTTCATGACCGGGAATACGCGCAAGGGTTGCGAGGAAGTTTGACTGTCGAAATAGTAATAATAATTAAACAACTAAAAGCATTCATCATTTTTCATTGCGTTTTCTTCATGTAGTCTCAATCTGAGGCCCCGTTCACACTACGTCTCCTTGGAAAACGCAAATTCATTCTCAGGGTTAGGTCTCACACCCTCCCCTCATAATCCAAATAAAATTACCCCAAAATCTAAACTTTTCGAAGAAACTCTTTAGGTGGATAAATTTAAACTTTATTTACCATCCACGCAATACTCAGGTAATGGAGATGTAAAAATTAGCGACTTTTGACCAAATTGCGCGCTCTCATAAAGTTAATTGCAAGTTAGGGGCCTCCAGCTTGTTGATGCTAATGTTCTGTTTTATTTGTCTGATATTAAGGTGCTCCAATCAATAAAATGTAAGGTCAACAACGTATATGGTCCCTTCTGTGTCCGTATTCGGAGGTTCGACTGTCCGACATAGTTACCGTTAATAAAAAAAAAAATTCAGTCAAAGGTTAACCCAGGGTTACACTCACCTGAACAGTGTATATGCGTTTAGCAGTAGCAGTAGCAGTAGCAGTAGTAGTAGTAGTAGTAGCAGCAGTAGCAGCAGTAGCAGCAGTAGCAGCAGTAGCAGCAGTAGCAGCGGTAGCAGCAGTAGCAGCAGTAGCAGTAGCAGTAGCAGTAGCAGCAGTAGCAGTAGCAGTAGCAGTAGCAGTAGCAGTAGTAGTAGTAGTAGTAGTAGTAGTAGTAGTAGTAGTAGCAGTAGTAGCAGTAGTAGCAGTAGTAGCAGTAGTAGCAGTAGCAGCAGTAGCAGCAGTAGCAGCAGTAGCAGCAGTAGCAGTAGCAGTAGCAGTAGCAGTAGTAGAAGTAGTAGTAGTAGTAGTAGCAGTAGCAGCAGTAGCAGCAGTAGCAGCAGTAGCAGCAGTAGCAGTAGCAGTAGTAGTAGCAGTAGCAGTAGCAGTAGTAGTAGCAGTAGTAGTAGTAGTAGTAGTAGTAGCAGTAGCAGCAGTAGCAGCAGTAGCAGCAGTAGCAGCAGTAGCAGCAGTAGCAGTAGCAGTAGCAGTAGCAGTAGTAGTAGCAGTAGTAGTAGTAGTAGTAGTAGCAGTAGCAGCAGTAGCAGCAGTAGCAGCAGTAGCAGCGGTAGCAGCAGTAGCAGCAGTAGCAGTAGCAGTAGCAGCAGTAGCAGTAGCAGTAG